GGATACCGAACTATGCTCGCTCCGACAGAACTTAGTAGAGGAGTTCTATGACATAGCATACGTGGGACATTTCAAGTGTAGTTTCTGGCAGGAACTCATGGGTTTGTTGATGACAACGCTAATGATGTCTTCAGCTTACCACCCTCAGACGGACGGACAAACATAGCGACTCAATCTTGTGGTTGAACGGATACTGCACACATATTGCAAAGGCGACATCAGCCACTTCGATCTACAGTTTCTGACACACAAGTCCGCTTACAATAACGCTTCTCATGCGGCCACAGGGAAATCTTCATTCTTCCTGTGTTACGGGCGTGAACCACTCACACCACAGCAGCCAACCACACCGGCACACGTCCAAGCTGCACATGACTTTGTCACCACCATGCAGCCGCTATGGTTGAGGACTGAATGACGTCTCACCATGATGCTGAGCTCCAATAAGTAGTTTGCCGATCCACAGCGACAAGATCACCAGTAGGAGTTGGAGACCGGGTTCTTCTTGACGCACGCAACTTGGAGCTGTCCCATCTTCTGTCCAAACTCCGACCTTGATTCTGTGTTCCTTTTCGTGTTGAGACGATGGTGACACTAGTAACATTTCGCTTGCGATTACCGACTACGTGGACGATTCACAACATTTTTTATATTCAGCTACCGCAGCCACCTGTTTCCGTACAGGATGAACCACAGTACAAAGTGGAACGCGTTCTCGCTCATTGACGGGCAAGCAATACGCTCGAGTTCCTGATACGCTGGAAGAGATACGACCCATCGTAGGACAGTTGAGTTGCAGAAGTTTATACGGGCAACGCATGCCATGCTCTCAATGATTATTTTGGCAAGTTGGGTTTTTCTCACGCCATCCAGCTTTGAGGGGGGGGAGTGTAAGAGTTCCATGGCACTGTCTACTTGGATTTACCTTATCATGCATTACTTTGCTTAGCCTTATTTTAGTATGCATTCTTTTGCTTGTTTTCCTTAAAATGATTGCTTAATTTATTTAACTATAGTTATAGCACAATTCTATGTTGCATACACCAAATCTTGTGCCTTTTTCTTGCAACTAAGAGGCTTCTTTCGAATTCTTCGTGGACCCAATCGGGACGCTTCGCGGCCCACGAAACCTCTGCATAACATCTTGGTTATTGGCCTTGTTTCGTGCCTATATATAGCCTCGTAGATGTACCTAGGATTCATAATCTTTTTTTTGAACTCAACCCTCGATCCTCACAGCCTTGCCATCCTCCCTCGAGACCTTGCTTCTTATTTTCTCCTCCTTGCTTTCCCCGACTCGTGCTTCGCTCTTCAACCACTCTTGCTTCACAATTTGCCACAGCACCATGTACAGTCTTTCCACGTCGTTTCATTCAAGGCGATTGACTTCCCTTCATCAGCAAAGATGACGATGCTGCCATTCCAACATCTCAACCGCACAACCTATCGCCTGCCTTGTCTACAGCTACATTTGCCCGACTGAACCGGTCCAAGCAATTTGCGCATTGCAAAAACAGATCTTTCTCCTTAAAGCTGAAGAGCTTTCACTAACGACCCTTAAAGCTATTACTGCGCTTAAGGCAAAGCACCCTCCAGACTGGCTCTCCGACTTCTCGCCTTCGGAAGTGCCGCTGACTATTCCATTTTTTTATCAGACCTTGCAGTTAGCCCCGTAAGGCATGATTGTTGTCCCTTCTGGTTGGTTCATTAAGCACCTTCGAGGTACCTTCCTCTCTGTCCAATCTCACCTGCAGCATATTCTCCGTCTGTTGCATAATTGGCTACAAGGCAACCTCCCACAGACAATCGCCGAGATATCGACATGCTTGCTGTCTCGTTGAATAACTCTTCACTTCAAGCAAGATTCACGACTTATTCTTTCCCTCCCTACAGTTTGGGGTTGCTAATTCCGCAAACATCGATGTTATGGCCCATGCAGTCCAGTTGGACCTCTCCCTCTACCAAGATTGTGATTCGTTGGGGCTAGATATTGCCAACGCCTTCAACTCCTTCGCCCGTTCCGTATGCTCAACGCCCTACGAAACTTCCCATTCTCCAGCCTTATCCCCTTCTTCGACCTCTTTTATGCCTCCCAGCTTCACTTCATTACAGCAGCGGCGCATTAATAGAGACTTCGGTCATCATCGGGTGTTCGACATGTTGACCTATGTGGGCCATTCTTGTTCACCAAACACCTAGCAATTCGCCCTGTCCAGATTTAGTTTCCAGCTCTCTCCATCACCTCCTACGTGGACGACACGTATATGGCTGGCCTTGCACATGAGGTGTTTCCTGCCTACACATCTATTACCTGGGTCTGGAGGTGCAACCACTTATGCTCCCTGTGGGCCCTTCTAGACGTCCCTTGAAACCTCGCACCTCCATCAAACATTGTCATTGCCCCTGATGGTCTCACGGTTGCATAAGTACCTATCATTATCTCCCACATTATCTTTGTAGTTCGAAACAAACTGCACTCTTCTCATCATCACTGCCTCTCTTGCATGACCTTCATGATCCACAAATTGCCTCTTGCATCCTTACTCTCTGCATCCGTCCTTCATTCCTCCTCTGCACAGTTGCGCCATTTCCCGAGATTGAAGAACTATACACTGACTAGGAAAATAGATTGCTTTACCATTTTGTTTGTCTCATCAGCTCTAACAATTGGCCTCCTACATTTGACCACACTCCCACTGCACACCAACAGCCATTCCTTCTTATTCGTCCTAGAGGGTTCGGCCTCTGTTCTTCAGCCGCGACTACTACCCTCCGTTACCTTTGCAGCTGGGCACAGATAGCTTCACTCCTCTCATCATGTTTCACGATTCACGGCTCTCCTATTATCTATCCCTTCATCACTTCAAACTCCATGGAACGATTGACCTGTGCATTATTAAAGCTATGTCCAAACTTCACGACAAGCCATTGTCGAGCACTTCCCTATATGGCCCGCTCTCCACGCTGCCTATCTACATAAGCTATATTCCTACCTTTCACAACACATGGAGGTTGTCATGTTCGAGCGTATGCGATCTACAGTAAACCCCCCTACCCCAAACATTTGGCTAGTTTGACCTCAATACAAGAGCCTCATGCTAGCGATTGTGGCTCCATGCTTTCCGCACATGCAGCTTAATACCACAGGGTGGTGTATTGCAGCCGCTATCTGTCTTGGTCTCCCCATTCCAAAACTCACGACCACCCACATGCACTTGCGACTTGTTATTGACGGATAGTTCAATTGTCTCGCACGCCCTCCATTGTCCATTCGCTAAAGAGCCTTCGAGAGTCCACGACGCCATCAATCATGAAGTTCACTACATCACGTCGAAGCTTGGGTATGTTGTGCAGTTGAAAGGCTCCCGCCCTTTACCAGGACGCCGACCAGACATCAGCTGCTGTTACATCAGTTTCGGGACAACGTGTGCATTAGATGTTCCGGTCGCAAACCCTTGGTATAGCCTCGAAGAGTCCAAATTTACATCTCTCATCAGTTCAGCTGCATCGGCTAGCAAAATTTAGAATCGGACCTTATATGCATCTTCCTTAGAAGTCGTTCAGACGCTCCTTAATCTTGTTCTTGAATTTTTCGATTGCTTCAGTACGCAATTCCTCATCTTCATCAAGGATTGCAGTCGATGAGGGTCGATATGGCTTCGAGAGTATTTCCTTAGTCATCAGCGAGAGCATACCATTACTATTTGCCGTCATACACAAATCCGTTAAGTGTTGACACACCTTCCGCGCCGCCAGATCCCACCCCACCTTGGTTGATAAATTGTACCTTAATGTTGGTTCCTTGATACCTCATTGTGGTCTCAACCTAGGGTAGGAGTCTAGGCATTGCTAGTTAGTTATTAGCCATTCATGCTCAAATCTATTTGTGCTTTTGTGCATACACAATATTGTGAATAAAGAGGTGAATGGACTAGGCTAGAGTAGAATGATGTAGATTTAAAATTGTGGACTAGTGGAGACGAATAAGTTAGTATGACAATGGAAGCGAGAGGAGTTCAGCTTATATTGAGGTGTCGCCAGAAACTTGGCTTCTTGTTTCAAGCCTCACATCAGCTCTGTGGCCCGTGAGAGGGCGCGCACTTTGTCGACTTTGCGCCTCTCTCCATGTCCTCATCTCTCCTCGCCAGACTCGCCACGTCAGCAGCGGCATCAGTCACACGGTGTGCGTCGTCGCTCCCCTGCACCCTCCTTGTCCCCGCCTCCTCCATGGCTCGAGCCTGCCCTTCCCGCGCGTTTCCCCGCACCACCGCCCCCACCGCGCTGCCGCCATGCATTC